TGATATCCTTCAGGGCAATTTTTTCTTTCTTTACAAGAAAAGACATTAATTCCATGTTAATATTTTTCTTTTATATTGTAAGGATTTTTAATGTGTGCACATCGTTCTTTCTCATCTTTTAAGCACAGTTTTAATATATTTTTGCAACTTTGGTGATTAATACATTTTTCTGTTTGGTGTTCAGATCCTCTTGTCAAAAGGTATTATCACTGAAATTGCTTTTTGAATGACCTCTAGACTTATCTTCTAGATCAGTGGTTCCCAAACCTTTTCAGTCCACCGCCCTCTTGGTGCTACAAACTCATCCTCGGTGCCCTCCACCCAGGGGAGGGATTCAAATTTCTGTGGGCTTGGCCTAATTTGAGGGTGTGGCTTGCTGGTCATGTGACTGGGTGGGCGTGGCCAGGTGACTGGCAAATCAAATACAAGTGGTCCTCACTTAATGGCCGGTTGTTTAGCAAGTGTTCTAATTTATGACGGGCTTCCCCAGATATACTTGACCTGTTTGGGGAGTTTTGACAACCATGCACACACATACACACGCACTCCCTTCTAACCCTGCTGGAGCAGGTCGTTGCACTAGAATCGGCAAAGCATCTCTGATTAGATTCTAGTAGTGAATAAAATCTAATCAGAGATGCTTTGCCGATTCTTGTTAATTTGTTTTATTTGATTCTCTTTATTTTATGTTGCTGAATTGCATTGACATGTGTGTCCCTTCTTGTGCACAACCCAGAAGCTTTTGTGATTCTTTGCAGCAAAAATTACTGACCTCTGGCTTTGCTCTACTTTTCAAACATGCTGACACTGCTGTGTTCTAGGTGCTGGCCCCACAGGTCCGCCCCATTGAGCCCACTGCACTGGAGGTACCTGCCCAAGCAAGTCAAGTCAATGGGGTGAGCCTGAGAGAGGGAAAGAGAGAGAGAGAGAGAGAGAAGGAAGAAAAGAGAAAGGGGAAAGAAAGAAAAAGGGACAAAGAAAGAGTGGGGGATGGAAGGAAGGGACAGAAAGAAAAAGAAATAAAGGAGGGAGGGAGGGAAGAGAAAGATAATGAGATATCTATTCTAGTCCAATCACCTTCTCCAGCAGGCTTAGAAGGGAGTGTGGGTGTGTTCTCATTGTAATTTACAAGTACATTTTGGTTTTGCCTTCTTCAGAATTGGCACTGTAATACATTGGGGAAAAGTAATTTTAGGGTGGAGATCTGGTCCAATGGATCCTGTTTAAAGCCTCAACAAAATGTGACAGCTTCCTGATAGTCTTGACCATGTTTTGTCCACAAAACCTTTAATAGAAGCCAAAGATGTTTCAAAGTGCTGGCAAAGATGTTTCAATGTGGAAAAGGGCCTCAGTCTAAACTAGGCCTCATTTTAATCTGATGCATCAGGTTTCTCTCTCTCTCTCTCTCTCTCTCCCTCCCTCCTTCCCTCCCTCCCAGACTGGCTTTGCTCTACTTTCCCAATGTGCCTGCGGGGCTGGCACTTCGAATACGGATGGATGGATGGATGGATGGATGGATGGAGAGAGAGAGAGACAGAGAAAGACAGAGAGAGACAGGTAGGTAGGTAGGTAAAAAGATTGGTAGATAGATAGGTAGGCAGGCAGGCAGAACTTTTGGATGAATGTATGGATAGGTAGGTAAGTAGATTGGTAGATAGCTAGATAGATAGATCGATGTTGGTAGATAGGTAGGTAAGTAAGTAGACAGAAAGACAGGTAGGCAGGCAGGTAGGTAGATAGGCAGGAAGGCAGGCAGGCAGGCAGACATTTTGGATGGATGGATGGATGGATAGATAGATGATAGATAGGTAGGTAGGTAGGTAGGTAAATAGATAGATAGATCTATATTGGTAGACAGGTAGGTAGGTAGGTGGACAGAAAGACAGGCAGGCAGATAGGTAGGTAAGCAGGAAGGCAGGCAGACAGACAGGCAGACCTTCTGGATGGATGGATGGACGGACGGACAGACAGAAAGAAAGAAAGAGACAGCGGTGGCACTTTGAGAAAGTAGAGCAAAGCCAGAGTAGGAACTGAAGTCCACACAAGTTGCCAAGGTTGAGAAACACGGGCTGAATATATCAACCCAGCCATTCTGGTTAGAGTTTAGCATGCTGTTTGATTCTGGCTTAGTCAGTGAATAAACCATGGCTAAGATCTTCCTGCTCCTTAATGCAGCTGTCCCTCTGCCCCTTCTCCAGCCCCCTGCAGCTGCCCCTCTGCCCCTTCTCCAGCCCCCTTTGGAATCCAATGCCAACCTCCCCAGGCCAGCGATGCAGCCGACCTCACCCTCTTCGCTTCCACTTCCATCGGGCCAAGCAAGAGGAGGTACTCTGCACATGCTCAGAGACTCCCAACTTCAGTGAAGCGTTCCGCCCATCTTTATGCTCCACCCAGGAGGAGGAAGGCGTGAGGAAGCAGCCCAGACTGGTGGAGGCGGAGGGAATGATTGCTTGGAAAGTAAGTAAGCAAGCAAGCAAACAAGCGCAGGGCTCGGTCGGAAGAACCGGGCTGCAGAGGGAGGCTAGGTTCTAGGTCCAGGATGGCCACGCAGAGCCGAACCGAACCGAGCCACGCGCCTTGGAGAGCTGCAGCTGCACCCACCCACATTCTGCGTGCAAACCTGGCTGGCTGGAGAGGCAGAGGCTGGGTGGGTGCTGCGTGCTCCCTTGTTCTCCTCTGGGGAAGGGGGCCCTAACGCCAGACCACCCACCCCTTCTACTGCATGCCTTGGGAGGGTTTTGCTTTCAGGTCTTCTGGCATGCCTCCGCCGCTTCCACCAGAGAGGGCAGCCTGCAAGTTAAGGCACCCTCTTTCCGCCACCTCCCACCTCTCCCCCACAGGCTTGGCAAGGCTCACCGCACACAGATTCTGCATTTGAGGCGCTGGCTACGGAGCGATGAAACAGTCAATGGGCTGCATGGCTGGCAGTCAGTGAGCCTGCGGGACCGGCACCTCGAACGCCCCTTGCCACCTCTTAGTGCCCCCCCTGCCAGCCCCTTTGCCTCTTACCGCCCCCCTAAGGCATCCCACCCCCCCAGGGGGCAGTACTGCCCACTTTGGGAACCACTGTTCTAGATAATATGCCATTCTTCTTCTTCGTGTGTCTTTTTAATGCTTGGTCTCAAAACAATATAGCTTTTGCAGTATTGTTCACTGCCCAGAGTCAATTGGATTGAGACAGGCAGCTACAGAAATTAAGTAAATAGCTAATACGTTGCTAACAGTGAAATTCAGATGTGTTAATTGGAAGTTCACCATTTCCCTCATGTGTCTTGAAATGTTCACTATATTATTTATAAAACCACACACTTTCTTGACAACAGAAAACAAACTTTTATTTAGTTCTTCAGTCCTTTTAAAATAAACATTTAGGCTGACCTTCTTTTGTCAATGAGGAGGTGTCAGAAAATTCACACATTTTCCTTTCTGAAAATTCCTTTACACATCCATGTTTTGAAATCTGAATATTCCGATACCTCAAGGCCAATTAAAATAGGTGATATCCCAAAATAAAAACTACTTGGGAGTTTCCTATAATATAAGAGTTCCTTCTTTGTAAGGGCTTGATGGAATGCCTATGTACAAATGCCTTACTTGGACTGCACTCTGGTTTACATGAGGCAACATTTTTTCAATGATATGTTAATATGTGCATTTCTCTAGTTCTTGAGTAAGCATAAGAGATAACTAGTATGATTTGTTCTACCCTGACAGCTAAGATCTAATCTGCCTAAACAATGAGGCTTTCAAATCAATTCTTCATGGCTTTACATTACTTACAATACAAAGGCAGTGATTAGTAGATTTGCCCCACTTCAGCATTCTTTCCACCCAGTATTACCAGCTAAAATTAATAACATCAGATAGGTGATGTTAGGAAGAACTATTTTAAATAAAACGTTTCGACTGTTAATCTGGCTTGAATCCTTGCAGGCCTAGTATTGGACATTAGCCATTGGCAATGGTCATCACCTCTATGTTCTCCAGGAATATGAAGCATAGATATGAAAAACATATGAGACACACATCCTAAGTACTTGTCTGAAAGAAAGGAATCATATGTCATATGTCATATCCTCAACCTGGCAGCTCTCAATTGTGTTGATGCTCCTTCTTTGAGAACCCACAGCTAACAAGCCTTACTGAGAACAGTAAACATATAATATGGTTTGGTTCTGGCTTGCAGCAATGGCTGAAATCCAACCAGCTGTAGTTTATCCCTAGTTAAACCATAACTTAGCATAATGTATGCCCTAAATTGAAGCTGTTTTCAACCTGAGAAAAATTAAGGTATTACATATTTATTTTTTTCCTTTGTACAAGAAGTTCTTAATTTAAATCTTGGATGAAAACAAACCAACTGCATTATGACTTACTGTTTGTTATACATGTAAGAGTCATAGCGGCTTTGGACGTGACAGAGGGCAATTTCTCTGAGGATGAATAACTGTACCGCACAGATCAAGACTATCTGCTCCATCTACATCTGGGAATGAGTCCCAGACTAGAGCCCGCATGCCTAAAATTTGACTTCAAAAGCACAGCAAGCATAGCACCTGCATTGCTTCATGCCCGAATTCTTCCAGATGCAGCTAAGGCAGAGTGCAATGCAGTAATGGTGCCTCAGGGTGACACGGGCCTCAACTGCAGCATAACGAGCAGCGCAGAGATACAGGCAAGCATATTCAGACTTCAGTTTTATCCTAAGTATTCCTAGCCTGGTATCTACCAAATATGTTGGATTTCAACTGCTACATTCCTAAACAACCTGACCAAGGATGCCAGGTGGGGGAAAGTTGATCAACTGATTATCGGAGCTTTTTAAAAATTATAAAATGAAAAATTAGTTACTCAAGGAAGATATTGATACAATTTTCCCCTGGGATTGAAATAACCTTCTTCCTTCTTATCCAGGTTTCAGATTTGAGAAAGGGTAGGATTGTGAGGTACATCCCCAATTATACGACCAATAATAAATAGGATAACATTGATGTTCTTACCCGTAAGGCCAAATTGTCCTTACAGTGTAGGCTGATTCCACACTCATCAGTAATTTCAGAAAGATCTTCATCTTCAAACTCTTCTAGACTGATGTCATGGGTAAGCCTAGACAATACAAAGATCATACAATTATCCATAAGAGAAAACAAGCATATACGAACTTATGAAGTTCAGTATGAAAGAAGAAAAAATAATAATCCTTCATATTGAATTCACTTACCTCAGGGGTGTCAAACTGCTTGCCAGTGGGCTGGATGCATCACACACTGGCCACCCCCACCCCCAGTTTAGCGAAGGGGGAAAAAGTTGCAATACGTTCATGTGATGACAATGTGTCGTTGAGAGTTTGACACCCCTGATTTACCTGGTCCACAAAACATCTTGAGAGATTCTGGACTGTAGGTATGTGTTCAAACAGCCATCAAGCCACTTTTTTGCTTGAAAATCTTGCTAATGCAGTTGGACTTGGAACCAGGAAGAGTGAGACAAGAATATCTGCAACAAGGAAACAGCTCACTCACAGAGCCTTGTTGTCTTAGAAAAGCAATGTTGCCTTGCAGTGGTATCAAATGAATACCACAACTGAGCCAGAAATAAACTGTCTCAATTACTAAAACACTCAGGGACAAGCTGATGAGATCAAAGAGTAATGGAAATACTTCTAGGTGGTGAAATATCTGTGATACCTCTCTTATATCAAAACAAGACCTATACTTGAGGCCTCTAAGAAGCAGCAAGGGTCCTTATTTCTCAAAAATCAATTGCTGTGTAGTATTTATCTGCTCAGTTTATAATATGTGCACAGGACACACATTTTGTAATTACAAAAGAAGCAGGACATGCTAAAAAGGCCATTTCCTTTTGGGATCCCTAGCACCATAGATGTATGTTTTGGTTGCTGCTGTATAGCTTCATTATTTAGTCCAATTTCCTCTCAGTCAGGGTCGATGGGCTCAAAACACAGTTTCCTCATTCCTACATACAATATTTGATTTCAGAGTTTTTGAATGTAAACAATTCTTCCTGGTCAACCATCACTTGCAGAAAGCAGAGATAGTCCCATTCTCCTATCTTCCCTATAGCCATAGGCTTCAATCCATTTAAGCAGACATTAATCAGTTCCGGTTCTATCTAATGTTTCATATTATATATAGAAAAGTATCTGCATTCATTTTTTTCCACTTTAGATCTATAATGTAACACCTCCCTCAGCAGTAACTATCAGAGGAAATTGATAGTACTGCAATGTATAAGAACGCTGTATTCAGTAGTGTAGGCAGGGTTTTTTTGAATAATGTTCTATGGAATTGGCAAGAAATTATATACATAAAAGTCTCTCTCTCTCATCTATTTCTATCTCTACCTCTCTATCTTTCTAGCTGTCTTTCTACAACCTGCACAACCTTTCTACAACTTGAAAACCCTTGGTATAAGGAAGCTTCAATTGTCCAAATGAATAGCCAAAATAGCAGTCAAGGAAAACAACTAAATGTTTGAGAGGAAATAACTTTAGAAGTCAGGCTTCTTGTGATATTTTGTGTTTTATGAATGAAGACCCACATAAGACTGCTCCATATTGATCTAGTGTCTAAAAAGAAAATACTGTTTAAAATTGTGTAGCTATTCTTAGCCTTAAGCTGCCCCATCTCTGAGCAAACTGTACTCCTCCAGATGCTCCTGAGCTATAAGGCTTATAGTTAATCTGTGTTTTTGAGCCATATTAGCATTAAATTGCCAGAGCTCAGAAATACCTGAAATACTATAGCTTTTCTACCTCTGCTGCACTGCATCCCACATGAACAGAGAGATATAGTGTAACATGGGCAACATCATATCTTTCAGGCAAACATGAATTTTAATTAATACATTTAAGGCGAGTTTATGCATTTATTGCCAAAAGACAAAAGAGAGAAGGAAATCAAAGATCTTTTCAATAGTCAAGCAGCAGTTGTTCCTGGTTCTAGAAGGGTACAATTTAAATAAATTCCCCCATTTATTTTTCAGGAATGAATCTATTATTTTCCTTAAAACTGGGAAAAGAGAGTTCATATAGATTAGTAAAGTGGGATTTAGTATTATAAGAGTGAACTGTTGTGAGTTTGGGCATATGCTCCCCTCATCTAAAGTGAGAGAGATCACAGCTTTCCATTTTGGATTATCATGAGCCCAGTGTGACACTCAGACTGGACAAGCTGTGGTTAAATTTATAATTGTTGAAAGGAGCCAAATTCAGAAATGAGACTGAATCTGACAGCTTGTTTGGGACTGGATATAGCAACTGAGTTTATGTAATGTAAAATTCAAGCCAAAGCTTCTAAACTTCACAATAAGGCCAAAGTTGGGGGGTTAAGATGCATTACAAATCTAACAGGCTCAGTCTTATAACGAGAAACTGTAGTTCAGTGCAAATTGGTACAATCTGAAGATGTGATTACACATGCCATAATTCCTAGCCTATGTGGGATGGTTTAGCATAGTTTCCTCTACTTCTGTATTTAAAATAATTATTTTATAAATATTGTACAACATAAGTAAAACACTTCATTATAAATACGGGCCAAGATGAAGATAAAATCCAGAGCAGTTTGCATCTGTGACCAAGAAGGCCTTCGCCAACTTCGTCTTGGTTGCCAGTTGGATCCCTTCTTGAAACAGGAGGCCCTTTTGTTACTCACACTCTAGTCACCTCATGACATGCTCTATTGCAGGGGTCTCCAACCTTGGCCACTTTAAGACTTGTGGACTTCAACTCCCAGAATTCTGGGAGCTGAAGTCCACAAGTCTTAAAGTGGCCAAGGTTGGAGACCCTTTCATTGCATTTGCTAGCTGAGGGAACCTGTAGTCCTACATATCTAAAAGCACCAGATTGAGCCAAGCGCCTTGTATTGTACCATGTGTAATGGCCACAGAGGGAGGCAAAAGGTGGCAAAGCGACATGCGAGTCATGACATTCATTTCATAACTGACACAATTCACATACAGGTGGTTTTTGACGTACAACCACAATTGAGTCCAACATTTCTGTTGCTAAGTGAAGTAGTTCTTAAGTGAGCTTTGCCCCATTTTTACAATCTTTCTTGCCGTAATCGTTAAGTGAACCACTGCAGTTGCTAAGTTAGTATCATGGTTGTTAAGTGAATCTGGTTTCCTCTTGACTTTGCTTCTCAAAAGGTTGCAAAAGATGAAACAAAAAGATAATCCTTGGGACCCTGCAACTGTTATAAATATGAACCAGTTGCCAAGCATCCAAATTAGATGTCCCAGATTGTTGGGGGCAATATGCTGACTCTGTAAACCACTTAGAGTGGGCTGTAAAGCACTATGAAGTGGTACAGTACATAAGTCTAAGTGCTATTGCTATTATGTGATCATGGGGATGTTACAACTGTTGTAAGTGTGAAAAACAGTCCTAAGTCACTTTTTTCAGAGTCGTTATAACTTGGAACAGTGACTAAATGAATGGTTGTAAGTCGAAGGCTGCATGTACTCACATCAGAGAACCAGTGTCATGCCCCTGGTGGAGACTGACTCTGAGGGAGAGGAGGAACAGCTGACAGGGAGTGGAAGTGTGGCTCCGGAGGTTGTGGAGGAGGCTGGGGAAAGGCAGAGGCCAGCTGAGCAGTCAGAGAAGGACCTAGGCCCATCCCCTATCCATCCTAGGGCACGCAGGGAGGAGAGGATCAGGGAAAGACATAGTCTCCTCGGGAGGAGAGGGCCTTGATCCTCTTCAAGGGCTGCAGGTGTGAGAACTGAATAAGAGTTTGGACCAGCATACTGGCAAAACACTGGAAACAAAGCATGTTTTATTTTGGTCGGAAGTTATCTTGATTGGCGTCCTTCCAACAGACTGTGCCTTGTTATCTCCTTGAATTTGGTAAACACTTCTCCTGTTCCGTTGTGGAAATTTCATCATTGTAGTTTGTTTGGTTTTTTTATTTCACTTCTATCTGCTCATTAAGTTCGGACTGTATTGCTTTCTTCTGAAGACTATTTTTGAGTACGTTTTATCTCCAGCTGAGTATTATTGAACAGTGGGGCCAAGTTGGAGGCAATAAAGGACATTTATTTATGTTTTGGATTTTGTTACGTTTGTGTTACACTCTGGGTCATCATCACCAATTTGGTCCAGTGCTTAAAGTTACCAGAGTAGAAGCCAGAGCTAGAACTCTAGTCCTGCCTTTAGTATAAAAGCTGGCTGGCTGACTTTGGGCCAGTCATACACTCTCTCAGCCCAACTCATCTTGTAGGGTTGTTCTTGTGGGGAATATAGGAGAAAGGAGTGCTGTGTTCGCCATCTTGAATTATTTATAAAAATAGTAAAGATGGAAAAATAAATAAATCAGACATTATAATGTGACATGAAATTACATAATGGTGTCATCTGCACAATGAGGCATGATAACATTGTCATTTTGATATTGTCATGGCTTGTATTAGTTTGAGTCAGTGTAAAATCAATAAAAGGCTGAAATGCAAATTTTCTCATTGCATAAATTTAGTCCCAAGTAGTCTGTGAAATTCAAACCTACAGCAAAAACAAAATAGATGCAAAAGCCATTGCCTTGCTTTCCATTTGATATCTGAAATGAAGCAGGTTTATTTTTTCCAACCTCACAAATTTTCATATTCTGGTTCAAACGGTATGGGGAAATATTCTAGTTATCCCTAATCAGCCCAGGATGCAGGTCTGAAATGTGTACAGTTTAATAATTCTTGAGCCTATTAAATGCTTGTCAAAATAATAAATGAATTAAAATCCTTTGCTATTTTGACAGGGGATGATGGGAATTGCATTGCAAATAATCTAAATCAAATAAGATTGAATATGCCCGCATAGGGATTTAGGAGACAAGCAATAGGTTGATGGGGTTCTAACAGCAAATCTGGAAAGAAAAACCAAGAGAGCGGTAGAGCTTCTTTCTCTGACCGCATTATAGAGTCAGGACACTTAGAATAATTCTATGAAGTTTCCCTCCAATTCTTCTTTCTTCACTGTGGCTTTTAGATTAGCTAACAGAACAAGATGGAGTTGTCTTCAAATGTTCTCTGTGCTTTTTGATTAAGAAATATCACTTATTTCAAACGGCATCTTGAAAAATAGTATCTAGTCCAGGGGTCCCCAAACTTGGCAACTTTAAGACTTCTGGACTTCAAATCCCAGAATTCTCCGGGCAGCTAAGTTGCCAAGTTTGGAGACCTCTGATCTAGTCTATCACTTCTAGTGAGATCTACTTGGCACATATGGATATCAGAGATAACAAACTGAGTTCCTGTCCCAAACAAGTTTTTACTAAGTACAGAAACAACTAGCACTTCATATGCAGTTACAAAAGGGGCTACTGAGTTAAAAAGAGAACGGGAAGTGTAACATTGCAGAACAATTGCTTCCCTTGCTAAGGTCTAGTATCAGGGAAGAAAACACAAGCAGGGAAGAAAGCAGAAATGCATTGCAAGAAAGAGAGTCCCACTTAAGTTTGTATTTGACTTCTGTTACTGTCAGGTACTAGGGAACTACCAACTTTTTTTTTTTAAAAAAAGATCTTTTTACTTTTCGTATACCTTCTTCCTTCTCCTTCCTGAGTTAAAAACTAGATACAAACTCAAGGTAAACCGCACCAAACTTGATTGCAGGAAATATGACTTCAGCAACAGAGTGGTCAATGTCTGGAATACTCTACCTGTCTCTGTGGTTTCTTCCCCAAATCCCAAAAACTTTACTGTCTACTATTGACCTCACCCCTTCCTGAAAAGGGCTGTAGGGGGCGTGCATAAGCGCACCAATGTGCCTACCGTCGCTGTCCTCTTGTTTCTTTTTATTTTTCTTATATGTATCCATTTCATTTATTCATAATTATGTTTATACTTATACCTATTATCTTGTAAGCGATTGACAAACAAACAAATACCTGCCTCCATTCTAATGGCAAAATACAAAATTGAGAACTAGAAGTGCCATATCCAATTATGTCATAGACTATAACCGTATCGCATCAGTTTCTTCCTCAGGTTAAATGCCTTTTAAAGTCCTTTAACACTCGTGCTAAATCAATATGTAGAACCATAGAAACACTGGGAAACAGGGGCAGGTTTTTAGATACAGAAACACATTCAATGAAATAGAACTAATGCCCTGAGCAGCTTTCACAGTAGGCTCCAGCTAAAACCTGTCCTCAGCACTTTTTTTACTTGATAGGAGAAAGATACTCTTCGCCAACAAATTCCTTACAGCATGAGTAATGTGTATGCAAATATAAGTGAAGTTGTAATAAAACAATGTCTCTTTAGATAACCCAAAAGAGGAGTGTATCACTAGTAACTTATTCATCTCAAGGGGAGTATACCTAAACAGATAAAGAGAAAGATAAGAAATGCTGAGGAACAATGGAGAATATATGCAATAATCCTCAAACATTAATTTCATCTTCTACATCAGAGAAGGCACAAGATACAAGAGATTTCTTCTGTTAATAGTCATGATTTTACAACGTTATTAAATGGGAAAACAGAGTTTTTAAAAGCCCATCAAAACAGCCTTTCAAACCCTAGCAGTAATATTATGGTAAATCTTTCAGATATAGGGTTACCCCACATTCTACCTTCTAACAGAAAAAAGTACAGACCATTATTTCAAAATGACCCATATGTTTACATCTGGGGTGCTTAGGAGCATCACTCAGCATCATAAAAAAATACTTAAGGGATCTTTTTGAGGTTGCTGAGATACTGCATCCCTGCAATTGATGAGGTTTGTCTATTTATGCCTCGACTCTAGCACAAGGTTCCTTTCATGCATATCTTGCAATTCATCTTTGAGCATCAAGGAAGAGCTATATTGACAGATAATTATTTTCATTTGGCAAATAAGGCATCCTTTCTGGAACATAGCCATCCATGAGCAAAAGGGGACTAATAGCATCTTCAATGATCTGGTCTCCTTGCTCAATTCAGACAGCAGCATTTTAGATTTTAACATGACATTTAAAGTTTGCGATCAAATTTGCACATGGGCTAAGAGCCAAGGACAAATAAACTTGCTTATAGGATTCCAATAAAGACCTCTGCACTGGGATAGAAAGGAAGCCAAATTACTTTTAAATGCTACACACTCAGCTATATGAAATCTCAATTCCCCCCATCCCAGAGGCCCTCCAATAGCCAGATGATCGCCTACCATTTCTCCCACTGATCCTCAATCCGGCTGTCCTCCTCTGTGCTCGACTGCATTTTACCTTCAAGCTTCATTGAAGAGGGTCCCCGTTGTGGGGGAAGGTCATAGGGCCTATTAAAGGGAAACCTCCTTCAGGCAGGAGAGTCGAGCAGCGTTGCCTCTGAGCTGTCCTTCCTGCCTGTCGCCAGCTTAGGGAAGAACTGCTGTTTGTGCTGCACTCTGCTTCTCACAGCACAGTCTAAGGGAGCTCATTAAAAATAAATGGAATCAGCTGTCTGGATACAAAAAAAAAAAGTCCTCTGGGTTGAGATGGTGCCAAGTCCTGCCCTCTGCTTCCCTCTGGAAGCCAGGCTCTCTCTCATCAGCTGCAGTCAAGGGAAAAAAGAGGAATCAAGTTACCCGATTAGCAGCAGGATGCTCTGCCCAATCATTCTGCCTTTGACCTTGGAATGACTCTGCCCCAACCTGTCTGCAAATGACCAGGTTCCCCCCAAGTGTCATTGGGTGATGTAGTCATTTGAAGTCTAATTCAGAAAAAGGATAATTAAGAGATGTAGAGAGCCAGCAGGAAGATACAAGGCTTGTTTTATCCCCAGGGTTCAGGCGATCACTGCTTCAGGGTTGTTTATTCCAAGCCAAAAGTTTATTTCGGCTACATTATCTTACAAATATTCTTGGATAATTCACAGGTCAGCTTGCAATTCAGGAGGACAATAAATCCTACTTCGAAAGGAAAGTTGTTCTAACGCGTGCATTCCCTTTCTCAATCCAGAGGGGAAATTACCTTTGTTGACTGTTATTTCTATCAACCACAGACAGAATAGCAGTTGGAGCAAACAGGTTTATATTAAATGCTTATCTCAGATGGCCAAGATTTATTTATTTTCCTCACAATATATTTCTAAATTCTGATCTTCCCATACCTGCTTGGCTGAATATCCAACAATATTGAATTTGCTGCCCATTACAGTCCCTACTCAGGAAATGGCTGCTGTGGAAGCTATATAAAACTATTTCCATATGGTGATCAATTCATCTAAAAACTACTCTTCCAGGATAGTCTGCTCCTGGAGTAGCTGCAATTAAGATGCTTTTCTAAGTGGCCTTCATGTGGCAGATGTTTCACATCATGAAAACATGTTCAAGTAAGTCCTAGTCTTTATTATTCTATATATCATTACAACTCTCCAGAGCAGTGAAATTGATTTAAGGGAAGTGCTGCAGAAAGAAATGTGTTGGTTTTATTTTTCTAAAAGAATTGCCCTGTGGGGGGAAGGCAGTGGATTAAGAAGCAACTTCCATGTTGAAAGTTTGTTTGTTTCTCTTGGGAGGGGGAGGAAAAAGGTGAGTGGCAGGATATCAATTCTGGATGACACGGAGATGCAGGATTAAAGCTACAGCAAAGCATTTCAACACACACACAGCTTGCTTCTCAGCTCTTCATGTCCAAAGCTGCTCTCAGTTGCATTAAAACCAAGCAGATTACTTTGAGACACATGTTGGGATAATTCCAAAACCCAGGTGAATTTAAAGCTTTTTAAATGTTTGCTTAGATACGTTAGGACTGTCAACACTAACAACTGTGTGTTCATTAACAGATTCTTGCTGCATTTAATTTAAATAGCAGAAGCCTTCTGGAGCTATGCTGTTAAAGAACTGTTCTAGAAGACATTTGATCTTCCATAGTTGAAAAACTATAAAAGTCCATATGCTTCATTCATTTCAGTAAAATGTCTGACAATGGAACACTTAAGAGGGACATACTATTGAATATATTATCTTTGAAATACCTTTACAATACAGTCTCTAAAGATAATGAATAAGCATGGCTAGCAGTCCAGATAGAACATGATAGTACTATTACCATAGAATAGAATAGCTGGAGTAAAATGATTCAAGTCAGTCTTGTGGCTCCAGATACCATGAGTTATCTTACAACTGCCATACTTTTTAGAAAGCTGGAAATTGTCCCAAAATTTGGAGGTACCATATTGGGGAAGACTGGCTTAGAGAGAAATGATTACCAGCTTGTAAAATCAAAGTATGTCCCAAAACACAACCCCAAGAATTTTGCAACAGATTTAACCTGAAAAAAAACCCAAAACCTTTGACTACAGTATTTTACTTACTGTAACTTGAGTTTTACTTGAGTTCTGCCCAAACAAAAGTAAATAAAATTTTATTACATTTGCCTTTTGACATTATTATCTCTCCCTGTATTCCTGCCTTATCTCCATTAATGAAGCCTGGTGTGCTTTTTTAAATTACTTCCATGTATTTGATATATCATATTTTCTATTCCTGTCTGTTTTTCATTTTCAGTCTTGCTTTTCCCATCAAAGCTGCCAGTTTGGATTAGGCCCATAGACTCTCTAGTTCAATCTGACAGCAGCCAAAGCTCGGGCTCTTCAAAAGAGGATGCCAAACTCTTGAATGTAACAGGATGGGATAGCTGTCTCTGCTATGCCCAGATTGTAAGTTTCCCAGCGGCTTCCTTTGCCCAACATTGGAGATAGTACAGTGGGTCAAATAGGCAGATTTTACTGATCCAGTAAAACAGGAATGGGCTGACTTCAGGCTTGTGGGATCTGCTTTATTTTCCATAGAACATAACACTCCATCAACAGAGTCAAGTATGTAAGGGTAGCCACAGAGATAGAGGCAGATGCAAATAAGGTTTGGAGTAGACTCCATTGCTTCCAGCAAGCCCCTTCTATGCACTAGAATAACTTACACAAGCAGTACAAATCTTTACCTGATGTTCTGTAAATCTTAAAGTCTAACACCAAACTCTAATAATCAGCCATCAAAAATTCTCAAAGAGTAATTCAGCTTTAGGTGCTCAAATATTTAATATTACATACAAGCAATATTAAGACTAGGAAATAAATATAATAACATCAATCACCCTTAATCCTTTTTTTTTACAAATTGAGTTTACTTATTGTTGTTCTATTCTCATAATTTATTCTAGATCATTCAAAAACCTACTAAGAAACTCTGATCTACTTTCTGCTGTCAAACTCATGATCAAACTGTGCACTGTTAATTTCCTTTCATGAAGCTAAATTAGCTAGAAGAGCATGCACTCATACCCCAAAATTATCATTGTCCCTAGGTATGTGTTTTATCATTTCACATATCCATCACAACTAGGTTGCTTTGCCATTACTTCCAACATTGAATTATATTGGGCAAATAAATTCTCCACGCTCAGATGTCAGGCCCAAGCAACACAACACATAACCTCTCCGGTGCTGCTGTTCTATCGATGTTGACTTTACTAAATTTACTATAAGACAGTAAACATTTCTTTCCCTTGCTCAACATGCATTCCACTGATTGCTTGATCCTGTACTGTAATTACAAAAGAATACATACAGTTCAAGAACACTGAAGCCAAGGCCAACAAACATCAGAGCAGGAGGCTTTATCCTGAAGGACCTGCTACAACTTATGACTAGAGAACACTCCTCTCATCATTGACCAGGAAATATCCCAGCTGCAGCATTATCTCACACCCCACAGGCTGTTGCTTATGTGCAGCCTGCCCTGCTGCTGCTATTTATTTCAATAGACTACATCATGCACACTCAGTATTTTCTTCTTGCTATTGATTGTGACAAAGCATTTGCAGAGATTGCCAGATGCACAATCAGCAAAATTGCTGATGTACATACATTGCTTGTTTGTTTCTTTTTACAGTAGGAAAGGTTTCTTTATTTCCATATCTATGAGTTGCAGGTCCTTCTTATATTCCTTGATGGTGTTTGGGGTCCATGATTAGGGTTCATTTGGGATCACTTCAAAAAAGTGTCATTGCTGAAAACTGATATAGTCGCAAGCAGATTTGCTGCTAATTCTCAAACCATTTGGCCGTAGGAATTTCTAACCCAAAGCCTAGGGTGTTTACTGGCTATAAAAAACAACTCACTTTGGATCTTCCATGGTCCTTTAATTCTCACAAGGATTCACAATGGTTTGGAAAAAGCTATCAGAAATCTCCAGTAAATACAAGCCCCTTTTTATAGCAGGAACCTCCATCTTATATATGTGCAACAGGTAGACAATAAGGGCTTTTCCAGTAAATAATAGTAAATGATGAGTTGGAGTAATCAACTCATTACTTTACAGCCATAGTCCCAATAGATCTGCATGCAGCAGGTGTTTCTAGTCTGAAATATTGCACTGAGGACAGGGCTAACCTTAACACCAGGATGACAAATGTCAAATGTTATATTTTCTCCTCCGGTCACTCCTTTTTCCTTCTTTAAAATGTTTTTAAAATATTTCACAAATTCCTCATTAAAGTAAGAAGATGCTTATTTAGCACAAATGCCTGAAACAAACTTGAACTCTAGCTGATTAAAGCTTCTGAACTGAGTACAATAATAATTTGCGTGTTGGGGTGGGTGGATGGGAATAGACATTTAAGATTTAAGCTGACTTCATTAGACTAACCTGCTTCCTGAGAAAATTTTCCCAGCACTGAATTACTCTGTTCAGTCTCTCATTTCTAGCTGTCACCTTGCCTTCCTGATAAGGCAAACTCAAAAACTTAGGAAAAATAATTGCTTTCTGGCCTTAATGTTGCTATATTAAAACCTCCTTAAATCAGAGCTTTAATCCCTTTTTCTTAATCCATCTGTATGACTTTGGAATTGCACCAATATTGAAATGTGTGTATGTGTGTGTGTACATATATACAGACAGTATATTTATATATGTACTGTCTGTGTATACTCCTTATTTTAGATTTGCATTAGAAAAAATAGGGTATATTGAAATGAGAGAGAGAGAGGAAATATGTCATTTTCAGAAATTCATGCAGAAGCATGAAAAAGGACATACCATGTTTTCTCTGAAAATAAGACCGAGTCTTATATTAATTTTTGCTCCAAAAGGGCTTATTTTCTGATTAGGTCATATTTTCTGGGAAATACAGTATTAAATGCATCCTCCTGGTTGATGATCTTAACTGGAGCTTATTTTACAATTCTGCGAGCTTATATTATGATTCTGAAAAATGATGCTAGGGCTTATTTTCCAGATGGATCTTATTTTTGGGGAAACAAGGTAGTAGGAGATTGGCTTGAGCTAATACACATTAGCATCACTGTAACAAAGTAATGTAAAGAAAAGACTGAAGATTTTATGATTGCTA